TAGCGACAAAAACATAGGCAATTTTTTGGTCAGAAGTTCATTTCAGACCAATGACCAACCAGGCACTTTTAAATGCGCTCGTGCACGATGCAAAACGTGTCCTTTCATTCACAACACTGATAAAATATCGGGACCTAAACAATCCATTAAGATCACCGATCACTTCACGTGCACCTCCGCCAATGTAATCTATTGCATAACTTGCACTTATTGCAAAAAGATACATCGGCGAAACAGGCAGAGGACTAGGTGACCGATTCTGAGAACACCTTTGAGACATGGAAAAGAATGACAAGGATACATCGAAACCAGTCGCTAGACATTTTAACTTACCTAATCATTCTAAGCAACATACGGCAATCTGTGGTCTTTCCTTACACTCAGGTAGCACGGAAAGCCGTAAAACTCTTGAACAAAAGCTCATCTTTCAAACCGGCAGTCTAAATCCCACAGGTGAATAAAGGCTGATAGTTTCGAAAGAAACTGTTTGGGGCTGCGTTGGTGGGGGTAACGAAATAATTTGGATATATCAACAAAGTTGAAATGGTCAATTGGTCACCCAGTAACGATTACAAAAGCTGACGTTTCGAGTGTTAGCCATTCGTTGGAGTGAAAGACGAAGGGCTAACATCAAAATGTCAGCTTTTGTGATCGTTATGGTGGCCAATTTACCATTTCAACTTTGTTGATATATCCAGATTAAATCCCAAGGGATCAACGAACGCTTTTCATTCCACTAATTTATTCGTGTTTTTCTCGCTGCCATGTTCCCACCAATAACGTAGCTCCATTTTCTGCCTTTAAAAGCACACACAACCCACAATTCATCTATTGGCTCCGACAAAGGGCTGATGCTCAAAATGTTAGCTTTTGTAATCGTTACAGTGGCCAATTTACCATTTTAACGTTGTTGATAAAATTATATTATCCAAATTATTTTGTTACCGCCACCAATGCAGCCCCAAAGAGTTTCTTTAGAAACTATCAGCCTTTATTTACATGTTTCCAGGGTCTGTAGTTGGGATTTTTCAATCCTAGGATTTTGGAATTTTTACTCTGAAGCAGAATTTGTAGAAATAATGAAAAGGAGTTAGTGTACCTAGTGTTCTATACTCCTGCCTCAAAGAAAAGAAAGCTGTTTTAGTTGAACTTTTTAAAAAAGGGGCCATTAGAATATAAATCCTGGTCTGTGAAATAGAGAGCTGCTATCCTTGATTATCAAAAGAAAAGTCAACCCTGGAAGGATCACTTTCATATATTATTTTCATGAAACTGCAGTACACATAATGTTCACATAATCAAATTCATCGATGTATCACTTCAACAGGTATAATTATGATCCAGTATGATGACCAGCTCCCAGTTGGCATGTTAGCTCAGTTGGTAGAGCACTACACCTGTATTGCAGAGGTCATGTGTTCAAATCCTGTATGGGCCTGAATTTTTTTTCAGTCCTTATCTCCACTACTACATAGGTAGGGTTCATTACTGCAAAGATCGCTTTCATACATTGTAAAAATCAACCTTTTTAACTCATCATTTCCATACCTCTTTCAGTCTGCCAAATCATTTTTTTTTTTTTTAAAGGTCTGGAAAGGAGCAGACTGACAGCAATTAATCTTTATAAAAATAGCGACACATTTAAAACTATAAATTTAATCCTAAATTTTACTGAACCATTTCAGTCAGGAGCATAAATTATTTTCTCCCTTTCCTGCATGCTTGACAGCTGTGAAGCATTGGTGTTTGGGAAATCACCCATCATTTAAACTCCTGTGATTAATGAAACTAATTATAGCAACAACTGGCTCATGTGCCGATTTGCATGTATCATGATATGAAGCACAGGGAGGTTGTGAACCACTTTTGTGAACCTGACTCCTTTTACTCGTCTTCACTAAGGGTGAAACTCACACAGATTGTGAACCACTTTTGTAAACCACTCCTTTTACTTGTCTTCACTAAGGGTGAAACTCACAGATTGTGAACCACTTTTGTAAACCACTCCTTTTACTCGTCTTCACTAAGCGTGAAACTCACACAGATTGTGAACCACTTTTGTGAACCCTTCCTTTTACTCATCTTCACTAAGGGCGAAACTCACACAGATTGTGAACCACGTTTGTAAACCACTCCTTTTACTCATCTTCACTAAGGGTGAAACTCACACAGATTGTGAACCATGTTTGTAAACCACTCCTTTAACTCATCTTCACTAAGGGTGAAACTCACACAGAAATGTCAGGAAAAAACAAACCCTAGTGGTGGTTGTGAAGGACACTACATCTGACAGGTATGGTAAAGAGATTAATCATTGATAAAACAGTAAACAACATGCAAGAACTGACAAAACTGCAAAATTAATGAAGCTTTAAACTACTGTAAAACTGATATTAAAATATTTTAAAATCCTAAGTTTTCAACAATACATGACATCATCAGGGATAAGAAAAAATTAATACTCCACCTAACTAAGGCTTAAATACAGTTGTAAAGTAAAAGCATGTGAAAAGTGAAAGGATGCAAGGAATAAAATGTATAAGATAAATAATAAAGAGGTACAAATATGAATAAAAAAATGATCAAATGAGTAATTAGTGTCAAGGTATATAAGGTCTCTCTAGAGATATCCTAAAAAATCATTAAAACAAGACTATTGTTCTAATAACTATTTTAATGACTAAATAATTTTTATTTTGACATCAATTTTAAAGAGTAGTTGTGAAAGCCTCATTTGATCTTTTTTCAGGTTTATTGTCTAAAAATTAAGCTACTGAGGGGCAACATTCAACAATTAACATCCAACAATTACCATCACCCTTTTATTGCTAATTGAAAGAAGGTTTGACTCAACATTAGAACACATTTTGCTACTTTAAAGTCATACAACATTGACTATAATTATTAATTGGCACCTAACTCTGAAACCCATTGCTATAGTTCGTACTCCAATAATTTACTTCACATGCATGACTGTGTTGCACTACACATTTGTAGACCTGTAAGTGATATATTAACTAAAATAAACGTGCACAGAAAAGCTTTCTCTTAAAGAAACTCTCAAACTCAAAGACTTCCTCACAACAGTTCTAAGCTTTATGCATGCCATGTTTAAACTAAGTAATCAAGGTTTGTTTGTATTCGACACTTGCAACATAGATGGCTCCATTTCGGACGAAATGTTTATGTTCATTTGTCCAGTTTGACCAACTTCACGCTAAGATCCCACAACTTCTTTGCTGCATCATCATCTTGGGCACCTTTGCATGGCTCCTTGATTGCGCAATCTGCCAGGTATTTGCCACTGACACCTTCCATATCTTCGGAGACTGCACAATAGATAGTTGTCTGGGCTCCCATCTCAGCACTCTTGAAGGTGTACCAGCGCAGTGGGGCTACAAAAATACTGGACAAAACGGAATGCCGTTGCAAATCTGTACTGACTGCTCCTGGATGGAGGGCATTAACTGTAACATGGGTACCCTCCAGGTGTTTGCTGAGCTGTCGTGTGAAGAGCACGTTTGCCAACTTGCTGTTAAAGTAGGCTCCCCAAGCACTGTAAGTCTTCTCAAAGTGGATGTCATCAAAGTTGATCTTCTGGGAACCCATAGCGTGGGCTGAGGACGACACGTTTATGATGCGACTTGGTGCTGAACGTTTTATCAGATCCAAGAGCAGCATCGTTAGCAGAAAATGGCCCAGGTGGTTGACTCCGAATTGCATCTCAAATCCTTCTTTGGTCTTCTGATAATCACAGGCCATCACTCCAGCATTGTTGATCAGGATATCCAATCGTGGCTCACTATTCAGAATTGTGTCCGCAAAATTGCGGACAGACTCCAAGGACGACAAGTCCAGCTTCTCAAGGAAGACAAAAGTGCTGCCACTTCGCTCTTGAACCTCCTTCAGAGCTTCTTTGCCTTTCTCTATGTTCCTGCAACCGATGATTACTCTTGCTCCACGCGAAGCTAAATCCACCGCTGTTTCTTTTCCGATGCCAGTATTTGCACCAGTGATAACAACAGTTTTGCCTTTTAGGCTTTTGGTGCTGGTGCACCGGGGTCCTTGGAGGAATCTTCTACCAGCATAAAGCGCTGCAAGAGCCCCAACGCCGATTGCTACTGGAACCGCCATACTGTGTTGGTTTTAGGTGGATGAGTCAGCTACACAAAATACATGTAATATCAACAAGCGAGTACCCAAGCTCCTTTGGGTAAATCTGTCACGCTATTGGACCGACAGCAGTATCATGAGAAGAAGATTGTAAGGCTTTTGTGTTTTATCATTGTTAATTTATGTATTTTTTCTTATCAATAATTGTAGCATTTGAATATTTTATCTCTAGCTTCGACACTAAATCGTATATCGTGTTTTAAAGGATAGGTTTCAAGTAAGAAGCTTGATGGCGTGACAACTTGCGTTGTCAGAGGGTAGCCGGGTAGAAAATCGAAAAAAGTAGACATTCCAGTTTAAAGAAAATCGCACCCTGCTTTCCGAAGAAAACAGGGAAAATAAGGTAAAATTTAAATCAACACCGAAAAAAAGCTGAAAGAAAATGATATCATTCTTTTTGTAGAGCCCAGATAGAGGCAATGAAAACTTTGTTCACGGCCTAAAAAAGCTAATCCCAACCCCTCTCCCCAATGTTCAAATTTTTGCCTCTCGTTGCAATGATTGAAATGCTGTGGCGTTACGAAGAGTGAAGTTCAAGTATTGTATTTAAATAATACCCCGAAGGATACAGTCATTTTGCACAGTAAGAACGAGCATAATTTAGCTATGAGTTTTATTTCTGACTACTGGATTCTTGTCGCATCCGCAACTGCAACAATCGTCATTTGTAAGCTGATTATTCGCCTTATCAAGAAATTCCGTGAGGAGAGGCAGCTGGCTACGTTCCCCTCAGCTCCTAGTCACTGGTTCACAGGACACCTCCACTACGTAAGTTTTAAAAGGACTGTGTAAATGATGTGGACGGGTATTGTGAAGTTGCTCCCTAACTTAAGGTACCACTTACCCTAAGTGAGAAAAGGAGCTTTTCCACCGAGTCTAGAAGCTCTTCGAATTCATGGAATTTAGATAAACCAAGGGTGTAGTTCAGCCCCAGGCAACAGCTGCACTATACTTCCAGTTTTTGGCGTGTATTAAAAGTAAAGTCGAACCTGTATTAAGCGGTAGGTTGTTAAAATACCAAGTTTGTTTTCCGTTAATCACTGTAGTTTTCACCTCTATTAAGCGGTGCAGTTTCTATTGTCTTCCACTGTATTGAGCGGTCACTTAAAACGGAACCACTCGTATGAAACTATAAGAATCATCATCTTTCAAGTAAAATTTAATCCATATTTCTCTCCAGAAGTCAACGTTGGTAATGTTTCTGAGCGATTTTTGTATATTAAGTGGTCAGTTATGGCATTAAAAGGCTTTTTTCATCGTTTTCTTATATCAATTAAATTAATTTAATTTTAATATTTCATTTGTTGGCTTCGCTAACAGGCAGCGAGCTCGCAACAGCTTGTGCCAATTACTGCGGGCCCAGTAGTACCCACCCATCCCACCCAAGGGGAGGACATCCGCCACACAGTGATCTCATGCGTGGGAAATTAATGTCTCCTACCCCAACCCAGCAGCAGATGGGACCTACGGTTTATTCGTCCTTATCCGAGAAGACTAGAATGTCTATCCATTTCCTGATATTATAGAAAGGTAGCACATTCTCCTCAGTAATTTTAAGACCTTGAGTGTTGGTCCAGTTGGGGCTCGAACCCTCGACCTCCCGCTCAACAGTCCGGCGCAGACTATCCATTGAGCTAACCAGGAGGGGGTTATATTTGCCCCTATTCTTCGGAACCAGCATTAAGTGGTCAACCTGTATTGAGCAGTCAAGATTTGATATTATTAGACTATTTTGCTTATGTGGCATTAAAAGAAATTAAATGTCACTGTGAGGTGGGAAAAGTTTAGAAAATTAAGTAATGGGCTCTTTTTCCAAGTGGCCAAGCTATACATCAGTCAAGGTGAAGCTTCAACATTCCCTCTTAGATCACCTCCCAGGCAATTGAACTTCTGAAGATTGGTTTGATCAAATTCATGTTTTTTGCAGCCAAAATTGTGTTCAAATGCCCCACCCTGAAGTACTGGTCAACTTTTTAGAAAAGAAAAAAGTCAGTAACTATGACTTTCTACTAATTGACCAAGTTTTAAAACCTAAACTTTTTCTTCTAAGCTATTTTCTCACAAAAGTGAACTCTTTACCTTTAAACACTTCCATGTTTAAGTTCAAATTCCTCTCAACCCAGCAAGGCATCAGGTTCAAATGCCCCACTCTCCCCTGGCATAGACGACAGGAAATCGGCTGTTGCCCTGAAGGGAGTGGGGTGGGGAGTGGAAATGTTGAAGCTTCAAACTGATCAGCTGATTACGACAAACATAATAAAAGCCAAGCCCCATCAAATGAGTTCCCCACCCCACCCCGGCCCCTTGTTTTAATTATTGTTAAGTTTCACTCACAGGAGTGACCAAAGGCTAATGATTCTCTTTTTGTAAGGTCAAAAATCATGATGGTACAACTCTTCAATTCCATGTCAGATGTGCAACTGAGTTCAAAACATGCTATATTATGCGAAGGGGTCCTCTCCTGACAGGACTTGTATTGTGTCATCCTGACGCAATCAAGGTTGTTCAGACCAGTAGTGCTCCAAAAGCACCTACTTATGAATTTATTAAGCCATTCTTTGGTGAGTATACTGAAACTTTTAACTGCAGTAGATAACATTAGAACAGTAATATTTGAGTGCTGAAAGAGGTCCAGGAATTTTACATGGTTTGCTTTACAAGTCATTGCTGGCTGTGATTGGTCTAAAAATGTGGGGCACTCTCTCCACCAATCAGATACAGACTATGTACTACTTGTTCTGGTTAGTGGTCATAATTTTTGCTCCACAATTAGTTTCACAATATGGATAAACTCTCTTGTAAGCTGACACCCTCAAGAACTAGAAAAAATAGTTAACTAATTAGAATTAGTCTATTAGGTGGACACCAAAGATATATAGGGTGGATGTCTGCCTCTAGAAGAATTGACTAGCGGGTGTTATGCCATACTCTTGTTACCGTCAAACAAAGGGAAAGCTTGCTTTCTTGCCAAAAAATGTTCACCAATTAATGGCTTCCTCTCTTCTCAAAGCTTTCTCTATATACTGAGACATTATCTATGTGGTCAAATGGTTTAAGCTTGCTCACATCTGTAATAAAAGAAAAACAACTGTTTGAAGTGACTTTAATGGCATATGTATAAACATTGAATCTAGGAGACATACCTAGCGCTTTACTGCTGCTGCTGCTTTGCATTTTAATCCTCAAGTTAGAGAACTACATATGATTAAATTCTAACTCCCAACTAACTGAGTGTGAGGGCTGTGCTGGGGAAAATTTGCCCAAGGTCTCGGTAGTATGGACAGTGCACAGCAAGGTCAGTACAAAAACTAACTATACTGGGCTAATATTGCCCAGTGCGGCTCAAACCAGTCAGGTTAGTAAGTAGTTTACTATATGACACTTGAACCAAAATTGTTTAGTTTGAATTTACCAGCTGCTTTCAAAACCAAAAATACACAACTCATAACTATTCTTGTGGAAACTGTCCATAAGGCAAAAGAACCAGACTTAGTAAGAACCAAACAGAATCCTTGGATTACCTCAGGATGCACCTTATGCCATATAATAAGGTGCACAGTATTCATATGCACTTTCCACTTTCTCTTAATTTGTGGGTGTCCTACTTTGATAATTTTGGGGTCATAATTATGAAATGTTACTTCACCTCGTGTAATTTGATCTTTTTTTTTCACCTTTATAAGGGAATGGACTGGTTGCTGCAAATGGGAACAAGTGGTTTAGAATGAGACGACTTCTCACTCCAGCGTTTCACTTTGAGATCCTCAGGTCATACGTTCAAATTTTTCAGGATTCTACAAATACTCTTTTAGTAAGTACACTTAGGAAATTTGGCAGGCTGGGGTGTTTTGATTGTCTTTGGAAATATTGTAAATTTGACTGATGCTCTCCATCTTCCAAATGCATACTTCCAATTGACCTCCAATAAAGCAACAAACTTGTGTATTTTGTTTATTATAAGCTAAATAAATATCCATTATTTTAACATAACTGTGTTATAGCATTACAGTAACATTTTCAAAATTTTCTTCAGTTGTAAATGCTGATTTCTTGACAATATATATTTAACAAGGCTGTGCTCTAAGGAAAAATGGAATGGAGCCCAGTGCTTTGAAACTGTGAAATCCAGGGTGCCCAGCATAATTGCTTTTTAAGAAAAAACTAAAATTCGTGAGTAACTTAAGAGCAAATTTAAAGTAAAATTCCAGGGCCACCGGGCACTGCTAGACCACAACCTTGATTTAGTTAAAAATTAGATTCCATTTTGTTCCAATTAGATTCCATCAGTTCATAAAATAGCTAGATCACAGATGATTTCAAAATGTGATAAGAAAAAGTCCTCTGTGATCTGTCAACAAACCCGCAGTAACATGGAGTCTACTTGCTTTATATGTTAAAAAGGCAAAATGTTGTTAAGGGACAGCTAAGATCATGAGCAAGAACCAATTGAACTGCATGTTATGATGTATAATTCAGTTTCTCATGTACAGGGCTTCTGATAGAACGTGATGGTGCGATTTCGCACAATCGAACTCATATCACATCCGATCATACAATTCATGAAAAATTGCATAATTCATAAAAGCTTGCAAAAATTCCACAAGACAAATGATAAATTAACACTTTACCTTAGCCGCGCATCCAATATATTGTCTTGATTGAAGCGCACACAGTTAAAACGGTTTAATTTACAAAATATCTGCACAAGCTCAGAAAGAAGACGTATAAAATGGCTTTCACGTCTTCCGAAGTGTGTAAAAGATGTTTTTTGTCTTTAAAACCTTCTAAAACAGGCATAAAATAGCTCAGATTTAGACCGCATGATTTGCATAAAATCGCATAGTCACTGATTTTTATCGCACATTTTGCTGAAAAAATCGCACAACCTACATTTTTTATCGCACCCTATCACAATTAGGCCTGCATGTAAAACAAGTTGGATTTGAGTTTTATCTTAGGTTTAAATATCAGATATATAATTATTGATTGCACATTTTATAGACCTCTGTGTTCAAGTCACTGGGTGCTTGATTTATTGATTGTAACTGTAAGTTGTAACCCAAGATCCAAACCAAGTCAAAACAGCTGTTCCTGGCTGTCTTGACTTTCATATAAATAGTTCTCATATAAATATTACTTTTAAGTTTACAGAGTTTGTGACAAATGGTTTCTATACTTAACTAGCTGCTTCCACTTGTTAACTAAAGTTGCTTTTTGAAGGATAATTATGTTTAATTGTGCAACAAAATGTTACATGTAGCTAATTTACCCCTAAAGGGGAAACTTGTTTGCAGGAGATCACTCATTACGCAATCATTTAAACGTAAGATCAATGACATTTTTTAAGTCTAACGCACGGCATTCACGGAAAACAGCTTTAGTGTTATAGTATGTAGTTTTAATTTTAAATATCTTAGCGTATGTGATATGTATTTTTATAGGCTGATGAATTGATCGTGTCTAAATAAAGATTACAAATTACAAATTATTATTTTTTGTCCTTTAGGAGAAGTGGTTGTCACTGGAGAGCGAAGAAGTGGAATTATTTCACCACTTAAGTCTCATGACACTGGATTCCATTCTCAAATGTGCCCTTAGTTATGAAACTGACTGTCAGACACAAGAGTAAGTTAGTAACAGTTATATTATGTAACTTGTTTACCCATTAAGCCCCAGTTAAAAGTGTCCTGTCAGGGAAATTTAGAGAGAGAGAAAGGAACATTTTGCACTTGGCTGGGGGATAATAGATTAGGTAAAGCCTGTTTATGAGCACAAGGGGCCCTTTGGGCCAGTGCTTAAATCCCATTTCCAAAACATGAAGCGCCTACAAGTATTTCTACTCCTTCCCCCCTGGATGGAATGCTAGTCCATCGCAGGGTTACCCGCAGCATTAAATTTGCCTGCAGTACCCATTTCTACTCTTGGGTGAAAAGAGGAACTGTGAGAGTAAAGTGTCTTGCCCAAGAGCACAACACAATTTCCCGGGCTAGGGCTCCAACCCTGACCACTTCATCCAGAGTCGAGTGGCACTTACCATGAGGTCACTGCATCTACCAAGCATAATAGATTAATAAGGTGGAAATTAATAATGATGATCTGACCTCTTTCACCTTTTCATAGAGAAGCTACTTCCTATATCAGAGCAGTATATGATGCATCTGATGAGGTTCTCAACAGATTGATGTAAGTATATGATTCCTTTTTCTGGCTGTCATGCTCATGTGATGCTCAATTTGACTTGTTTACCTTCTTGGGAGGGAGACTGGAAATCAGTTTGACGACTAGTGTGATCAGAGGAATTAAGTTGAACAAATGGGGAGCGTAAGGTAGTTTTACTGAAGAATATTATAATGGAGAACAATAGAGTTGAAGAGGGGGGGGGGGACCAGGAGAATAGAGGGCAGGGGAGGAAACAGTTGAAAGTGAGAACTTTGTGAAGGTTTTTCGGTTTTTGTGCCAAAAAGTCCGGTTTTTCGGTTTTGGTGTTTCTTTAGGTTTGCGGATTTTCCGTTTTTTAGCATTTGGTCTTCGGTTTTTGTCAAAAGGACTAACGGATTTTGGATTTGGTATCCGGTGTGGTTTTCGGTTTTTTCATATTTTGGTTCCAATTTCTCTTGGATCTGAGCGGCAATTATGCATTGATCTCCAATAGCTGCGAAACCGCTTTATGCTCACTGGTCACCACTGTATCGGATCGATTAGGGTTTTGATAACTGGGATGCGAAAATATATCGGTTTGACGCTTTTGCATGCGGTTCAGCTTTGGTTTTGATCGTTTTTGTTTTTGTTTTGTTAGTTTGTTTGTTTGTTTTTTTCAGCTTTGCACGATTGTTTTTCTACGGTTTTGCGGTTTCTAATCAAATTCTCTCCTCCCCCCAACCCCTCGCCTTCCACTTTGAACCCCCACATACCCCCGCAATGTTGCACATGCACACCCCATTGGATTGGGTGGTGGAGCTTGTTTCCAGAAATGTGCACTCTCTAAGGACATTTGGTTTAGACTGTATCCTAACCCTCAACTACGTTTAGCAGGACAATATTGAATTACTTTTACCTCTGTAGGAATCCTTTATTGCATTCGGACATAATTTATAAAATGACGGCTGGTGCCAAACGATACTCTGAAGTATGCGCTGTAACCCAAGCCAAGGCGAAGGAGGTCATCAGAGAAAGGAGAGCAACTTTACAAGATAGTGTGAGTGTATCGTAAGTTTTTAAAAGTGTTCTAGAGTTTCGAGCGTTGGAATATTGAAAATTATTTGAACAAATTTTTGTTTTCTTCTATAAAAATCATTTGCATGGTATGTTTTCTTTTCATCAGTTGACTAATATATAACTGTATAAGGTTGGGCAAATTAGTTTCAATTTATTTCCCTCTATTTTAAGGTCGAACAAGAGAAATTGAAGAAAAGAAGATACCTGGACTTTCTGGATATCCTTTTGGCAGCCAGGGTAATGTTGCTTTTAAGTTATTTAAGATATGAAGCTTAATTCCCTTAAAGATGATTTAACATTCCTCTCTCCAATACTAATGAGATTTGGGCTTTTTATATCGACAAGGACCCTCTCATGATGCATGTTTACTAGTGAAGATTCCATTTTGTCTAGAGATTGCAAAGAGAATTCAGTTATGTATTTTTGGCATTGCTTATCTAATCTTGGCTTGAAACGAGATTGACCAATCACACAGTGCGGACTATGCAGGGTTGTGTGGGAAAAATGCTTCTAATGTATTCTCCCCAATTCAGGACGAAAGTGGAAACGCTTTGACTGAGGAAGAAATCACTTCAGAAGTTATGACTTTCATGTTTGCGGGACACGATACCACTGCGAGCTGTAAGTAGTTAAATGGAAGCAGGTTACCGGCCGTTTATAATCACCGGAAATATAAGAATTAGTTCTGGCAAAGGTATTCGACCGGAACAGGATTACTTAGTAATTGGTCTTCGCAGCATTTGAGACCAGCAGTCTTTGCAAGACTGTTTGAAGAATTATCTTCTTTTACCTCTTTGATTCTTGACTTTATTAGTTAAATGGTTTTGATTATGGTGTGACAGTGAAAACATGCGATGGCCCGCCCCCCTTTCAACGATGTTGACGACCCTGATCCCCCCCTTCGTTCCTCTTGAAAAACATGTACCCCCCCTTAATGTCCCCCACCCGTCTTACTTAAGTGATAAATAATCACAGGTCCATTATATTTCAAGTTTTTCGTCTGGAACTATTTTGACTCCTTTAAGCAGGTTTTTTAATCTTTCTTTTTAGCTATTTCATGGACACTATACAATTTAGCAAGATTCCCCGAACAGCAAGAAAAATGCCGAGAAGAGATAGATGCAGTGCTTGGGAGTAAAGAAGAGTTTGAATGGTGACTATTTTATGTTGCTCATACATGTGTGTGTAGATTGCGAGGAGACAGTTCCCTGCGGTCTCAGAACGGACGCGCAAGGATAGCTCCCTCTGTGCTTTGCGTACAGGATTTTTTCGCCAACGTGTGACTCTCTAAACCACTTACGTGTGGGTGAAACGCGCCCCTTTATTCCCCACTGATGAAGTGCCGAGCCCGCAACGTTTGGAAACCTCTTAACAAATATGACTCTTTTTGTTTATGTATATCCCTACTATTACGTTTTGATTGGTTGGTAGTGCAGTTGAGTCGCTCGTTCGCGGGTTCGAATATGTATGTTTGCACCCACAGAGAGCCACCTAGAATCTTGACTGGTTATTGCTTAGTTGGAACAATTTCCTATCGAGTTCCCGAAATAATCCGGGATTTCTTTATTTATCTTCATTTCGCTCTGCGATTGGTCAGGAAACTCACGCCCCACTCTTATGATTGGCTGTTGTCATTTCTTTGTTCGTTTCTTTATT